TTAGCTCCGTGTGACTTCTTCCTCTTCCCAATGATGAACATTCAGCTAAAGGGAAGGAGATTTGAGACAATAGAAGAGATTTAGGCAGAATCGCAGATGGTGCTTGACAGGCTGATAAAGAAAGATTTCCAGGGATGCTTCCAGGCTTGGCAGCGGCGCTGGGATCGTTGTGTTCACTCCCAGGGGAACTACTTCGAGGGTGATGGATGAATTTAATACCTGAGATAAGCGTACGGGTTTTTATACGCGCAGTCTTGAAACCTTTCGATCGCACCTCGTATGTGTCCGTCTGGCTGAGTGAATGTTCGTTTCATCTCCCGTGTCACTGAATGAATTTTCGAATACATTTTTTACTAAGGAGGTGCACAGGAAACGTAACCAGGCATATTTAGGATCAAAGTTTATAATGGAGTGGTTAGCTCTCCTATTTCGTATTCAGGATTCAAATTTTGATCCGGAGTCCGGCGATCATGACTGAGGTTTTTCGTGTTTTTCTCATTCTCTCCAGGCAAATGTCGGAATAGAACAACAAATTAGGCAGCGACAGCTTCTTCCACATCCTTTCCAATTAATTACTCGCTGTCATCCTGTCATCCCACGTTATACAGTCTAGACCCTGAAAGCGTAATTAAATAAATAAATAAAAACAACCCAGAAGACAGAAATCTTCATACTCACCGCTGTGAAAACCTCAAATCTTACATAATGTTTAATCCATAGTCTTTGTGTATTGTAAGTGCCCTTTGAAAGGTTTTAAGCGCTTTTCTCGATTCCCATATAACTCTGCCGTCTGCATGTATATTTTGGTAAACTACTCTTTTGTCCTCCTGTTATTTTTGTAGCCTTACAATGTTTACCAGCATAGGATATAATGTCTTATCATATTTTGATATGTGATATAAACGTGACAGTTCTGCATCTTTATGAAATCTTACAAAAACAAGATTGGAAAAACACACGAGTCTGGCATTTTCCTGATTAATTCAGCATAAGTCATTTTTAGTTTAGCTAATCTGAGACCTTGAGAACTAGAATTTGCAAGGCATACACAAAGGAAATAACGCCCTGCTGTCGACTTAGCATTGTCCTTCTAGCTTATGTCGGCATAGCTAACTAAACAACGAAATTTCCATGTTTATTGTGACGTGCGGACATATTCAAATAGCCTGTGTTTTTTTCGAAATTATCCTGCCAGTTTAATTGTTAGACAGATATACCGGATCTTTCAGCTGAGGATCCTTTTCGCTGTAGCAGCTGAGTTATCCGTGAAAAATATATCAATATGAATAATTCCCAGAGAGGTGAAAGTGTGTGGCGAACAGGAGTGAAAGTCATACAGAGCGAGACTCTTCCGTTTTCACGATCAACTGGATATCGTTCGTGTTACTAATTAGGATGGCAATTTGCCTTGCGGCACACCACATAACGAAACAGTTGTAATGTCAGACATGCAGTGCCATAAACGTTTTCGGAATCTTTAGAGGACTGATGTTCAGAACTTAATTATTTACAATAACCGTAGTAAACTTAACATCACGAGACGGTCCTATGTAATACGTGTTGCGACGTATCCATAATTTAAATTGGAAGAAATTTTAAGACCAAAGTGTCATTTGAGTTGTAATTGAATCTTATGAGCATCCCATCGATCGTATGTAATCTGAGGTGTCATGCTGCTTATGTGTGCGCGCTCGCCCGTCAAGATGCAGTGAAAGGACATCTCGAACCCGATACTGCGGAAAGGGAAGCATCTGACCCGAGAAAGTATGAATTAATCAATTGTTGATTATCTGCTAATTGATAATGAAGTTCCTTTAGAAGAACAAAGTTCTCTTGTATAACAGTAATCTCATCTTGCTCAAGTCTCGAAAAATATGATCTTTAACCTACGTTATTCTTAAATACGAGAGGCATTAAATTTCACTTGCGACTTATTCTTTAACAAGACGTTCAACGAGGGACTTAATAAGCCTTCTTTCCTTCAAATGTTGGCAGACACTAGCTTAAAATGATACAGCTGTGTTATTGACAAGCGTATTCTTCGAATGATTTTAGTTTCGCTCATTTAGGTTGGTCATGTTGGTACGAAGCTTTGCGGTTTCAAAGTCACAGTGTATTAACATTGGTAGCCTTTGGTTTGTGATCCGTTTACTGAAAAGAGATACCCAGTGAAGACTTTTGAAGTTAATATTAATTGCTTCGATCATTGTTTCTTGTGTTCGTAAATTATTCTTTGCAAAACAAGGGCAGCCAAGCGCTCTCAAACTTTATGAAGAAGTTAACTTGATTCTTTGAATGTGTTTTACCTTTTATTAATAGGAAGATGTTCCCTTTAATGGCTCATATTGCTCTGTTCCTGTTTAACTCCTCTATACCTAATAGGACTGAAGTACAGGTAAACGAGAAAACAGATGTGATAGCCCTTAACACACTCATGTACAGTGATTGTCGAATCCTTTACCACAACCGAGCGAACATGTAAGAAAATATGCGTTATGATTTATTTCAGTGTGGTGTTAATTAGTACTATATAAAGGAATATATTGAAATGTGATTTTCTTTTTTTTATATTTAATTTTATATTTATATATGAAATAATGACCAAACTGTTCATAAGAATAGGAATATATAGTATTTTATCCACACAAATTATTATATTGTTATTACATATGCCAACCTTACTAAGCCATCATCAGATGTGTTTCTTAAACATCAAATTATCTTATGACAGTAGTATTAGTTTAGCCCTACAACATGTTAGATAATTCGCTACCCTAAACCACACATCTAAATGTGTGGTACATAAAATACACACATAAGTATATATATATATACATATATATTTTTATTCATTACACATCAGGAACCAGTCCCCGAAATAATTGTTCATAAGAAAATTACTCTCATTATTTCCATTTGAT